GCAGTTTGGGGGGGGGGGGGAGGACATCCATTCAGGGGAACACTTCCTCTGTGTCTGCAGCATAACTTATTCAACATGAAGTCAAGCAGCACTAACAGCGGCCCAAAATAAACTCTGGAATTTAGTCTGCTCTGTGATCCAAGGGCAAGAGAATAACTTCAACCCAAAGTGGTCTCTCATGATGAGAGTGTTTTTAACTGTGCAAACAAGCCAGTAAATCCAGACATCATGTTCCTCGGCTACTCCTCTGTTTGAAGAGGAGAGATTGAGCACAGGAACATAAAGTCATCACAGATGGTCCCCCTTAATTTGGGAACTGGTTTCATCACTTGCAAATAGGCCCTGCTGTCTTTGTCATACTTGTATCATGTTGGACAAATCGAGCCCCAAAAATAAATGGCTGCCTGCTCTTGTGTAGCTTCATCCCTGATCTGATCTGTGAGGAGAATAAAAACACGCTGCAGGGTTTTTTTTCTGAATGAACTGTGACATAACGAGGGGCATCACGCGTGTCTGACTTCACACATTATTGTGTCTCATGAAGCATTATTTCCACCTCCCTGCACAATTATCTGAAGGCTGGATTTAATGTCTAAGTCTAAGTTGCAAAGGCCCTTTCTGTGTGTGTTGAGCGCATATTCAACAGCTGTCAGTCTGCTCCTCGTTTCCGTTAAATCGCCAACAATGTGTCATTGTAGTCTGACGCTAATCTACACAACTGGACACAAAGTTTCTGCAAGGCTGCGTTATCTCTGTTACTCACGTGCCAAGGACTTCCTTGAAGTCAAATATCTTCTTGATATCATCGACATGCTTTTTCCAAGATCCATCGCTGGACTCGCCGTTTTCTTTCGCCATTTCGCACCAGGGGTGGGGAGAAGAAGAAGAAACTGGAGGATCACCACCACCACCACCACCACTGTCGTCTCACCCAGACACAGAAAGAAAAAAGAAAAAGAAAAGTAGTGCACTTCTGTATATCGCCGAGGGCTTCCTGGCTCTTTGTCAGACTGTCTTGCTTCCTCAGTGCATGCATGCAGCCAGGCAAGCCCAAGGAGGGAGGTATGTCCTACCCCGAGAGGATATTTGACTAATCTGTTTGACGTAGCGGATCCCGAGTCTGAGCTTCCCCACTGTTCAGATCACTGTGACGGGGAAACACAAGGCTGTCCCCCTTCCTCCTCCTCCTCCTCCTCTTCCTCTTCTTCTTCCCCGGGAGGGATTCAGTCAGTGTCAAAGCGGCGATGCGGTGAGCTCAGGTCGGGCTGCTGGCAGGAGGATGACACTTGGCAGTCGCATCCGAGCCGCTGTGTGCCATCGAGTCACACCGACCGCCCTGTGGTTGTTATAGCAATAGGAGGAGTGGGAGGTTGCTGCTCCCGCCTGTCTATCTGACAGCGTGCACAATCAACGGTTTAAGTGTTCGCATTGCACCAAATCACCGGCCCGGTGGAAACTCTGTCGGACTCATCAGAGTTTCAGCTGAAAACACACTGAAAGCAAATGTCATGTTTGTGTCGCACTGATGCTTTCATTTTCATATGAGTTGGGATGTGAAGGCAGGGGCGCAGCTAGGAGCCATGGGGGCCCATTCACACAAGATGACCCCTGGCCACCTTCAGCCCCACTTCCACCAAACAGTACAGTACGCTACAGTTCAGTTCTGTACGCTTTTTTCCGTTTCCACTGTGAAAAGTTGTGGATGGTACCAATGGAGGTGTTCCATACTGTCGCCATTTTGGTCCCCCCTCTGTTGGGGTACCTAGCCAATACACATCACCACAAATTGACCTTTTTTTGTCCTTCAGCAACACACATGGTTGGATTTAGGCAACAAAAACATGTGGTTAGGTTCAGGAATAAAGAACAGGTTGGCTTTATAACCTTAAAGGAAGCGAACACAGCTCTCTCAGGTGGAAGTTGGTGTTTGCTGGACCCATCCACCACCTCTCCCAACAGACTTTCGCAGCCTTAACTTTCATCCTTGTCCCCCCATGTTTCCCCTGACACCATCGGACGCCGTTGAACTATAACAGCAACCAGCTGGGTATCATGCTGACATTAAAGGACACCCTTTCTCATTGGTTACTGATGCTGCAAGTCAGTGCCCAAGTGCCAGATTTCAACAACTTCGGAGTGACACCAGGCTCACCTAGCACAGATCTGGCACTAAAAGGTAGAGTTGTGAACACTGCAGTCTGTTGATTGGTCAATAGAGCACGGTCACTCTGCTCAGGGCTGAGTTGTGGCTGGTTTTGAGGCTCATGTCACCACTGTTCATACTGTGGAGAGTTTTATTAGTCAACTGTAACTATAAAATGAAAGGCTGTTTTACTGCCTCTCGCAGCAGCTGGAGTCGGAGAAAAAAATATCTTAATTCGCTGGGCTGACTGCCGGCAACTTTTAAGGTGGAACGTTAACTTGTAATGTTACTCAGTGCATGAGTTCATGACTTGAATCCATCAGCACACCTTAAATATGAACTTTGAAAATCACTTTAGTTTTTATATGACACAGACTTTTAGTAATGAGTGGATCTTCAAGCATTTAAAAATATATATTAATTTCGACCAGATTATGCAAACTGCATATATTCTAATCCTCACTCGGAGAAAAAAAACCATTGCATCGAGTGTTGTTCCTTTGGGCTACGGCAACACTAAACCCCTGAGCTTGCCTGAGAAGGACTAAATACACAAACCTGCTATTTCTAAATATCCCATGGAGAGAGACTCACTGCAGCCTGTTTTATTTTGTTCCAAACATGTCGGTGTACAGCCTCGTTCTGTGGACAATAAACGAGGTGCAGACTGATGAAGGAGGAAATACAGTGAGTGCTGGACAGAGCAGTGAGTGATAAAAGCCCCGCCCACATTTAAGACTGCTTGAGGTGGAAACACTAGGGTCTAGGCACCATTTCTGAAGGGTTACTTTTGGTTTCAAAGGTACCATACCAAAAGAGGGCTTTAGACTTTCCTCCATGGTTTGCCTGTTTGTCGCCTTGTAGAAATCAAACTGCTTCAAAACCAGCGTGTGCATAAATGTACTCTGGGTCACAAGGAGCACCAGGACAATATCCTGATGATTCACAAGGTTTTAAATGTATTTTATGTTTTTGTTTATCCTTTATTTAGCAGGGAAGGTCCCTTTGAGATACAAGATCTCCTATTCCAGTCAGTCTTAGTCAAGACCATTGACACTATGAAATAATGGACGTAGCTTCCATGACGTCAACCATTGGTTTGTGGACTGTCACCATCTTTGTTTTTCAGAGCCAGAGGTGACCATGTTACCCCAGGGATAGATAGATAGATCGATAGATCGATAGATCGATAGATCGATAGATAGATAGATAGATGAAATTTGGCCGAGGCATCGGCAATTATATGTTTGGCAAGTCACAGAAACAACTCACCTTCCCTGCAATGTTGACAATCTTGGAGAGCTTGTTTTCATCTGAGCGACGCCTCACATGCAGCCTGTCACTCACATGGCCCCACCCTTCAATATGTGTAACCTAAAGTCCTAATGAAATGTAAACAGGTGAGTTGTAAAAAAAGACATCCTCGTACAGTTGTCATGAATGTTGAAGTTAGCTGTAGAGACCCAAACTGTTTTTTCGTACCAGGCTGTAAACATGTTTATTTCTGCTGTAAAGTTGGACATTTTAACATGGAGGTCTGTGGGGACTGACTCGCTTTTGAAGCCAGCCTCAAGTGACCATTCAGAGAACTGTAGTTTTTGGCACTTGCCACATTGGCTTCATTTTTCAGCCTCAGAGGTTGCCGCACTGCAGCAGACGAGCATGCCATTCTGTTTTGACAATGTTTTACTATATCTTTTACTATATTTTTTACAATGTTTTTTTCTTTATTTTAATTATATTTATACTATACTTTTTCTGTATTTTTTCTATATTTTTACTTTATTTTAACTATATTTTTTCTATATTTTTACTGTATTTTGTTTTTCTATTTTTTTCCTATACTTTTTACTATTTTTTCCTATATTTTTTCTATATTTATACTATACTTTTTACTATATTTCTTTTCTATATTTAATATATTTTCTGTTTTTCTATATTTTTTCTTTATTTTCTATGTTTTTACTATTTTTTCCTATATTTGTTTCTATATATTTTATTTCTATATTTTTTCTATATTTTAACTATACCTTTACAATATTTTTATTGTATTTTTTATATTGTTTGCAATTTGTAATTTTTTTCAATATCACTGACGCACTGGAAAACAAGTTAATAAAGAGTAGAAAGCAGCACAGAGACCTGTGAAAGTGTTACAGTGGTTACTTCTTTTTTATATCTTTTGCTTTTTCAGCCTCTCTTTCAAACTTGGTGGCGACTAAATTGGAACGATTCTGGACAGAGACGGATGGATTTGTGGTGGTGCATCATGACAGAGAAAGGAAGAGATATGCTGCAAGGGGCTGAAAATTAACACGTCCACTCGGGTGTCATGTTTCCATCAGTCACCTAGAGCTGGAGTTGATAAATACCCGTGACTACTGCAGAGTCATCTGTCCTGGGGATGAATGCTGATTGTAACCTTTCCCTTTAAATACAAAAGCCAGATGTGAGCAGGTGTTGAAGGGAGGCGTACAGGTCATGTCACCAGGAAGACAAAGAAGAGTGCGTGAAATATAAGGACATGAGTCAGTCATGAGTCAGAAGTGTTACAGGAGTGCAAAGCTATATCAGTTGAGACTACCACATGAATTTAACAATATATATGACAGTGTAAAGTGTCTTTTTTCTCAGCAGCTACTGGTTTTTTGGCTCCAATCACAGTTGTATATTGGCTTTAACAGTGGAGCCCATTGAGAATACTATTATAATCTCTAGTATAATCTCTGTACATAAAACAAACAACTATCAATATAAATAACTACCTGAGAAACATTTTCTAATCACATTAAGTCAAAATTTAACAGGCCTGTCGACTCATATACAAGTATGATATCAGGAAAAATAAAAACCACGATGCATGAAACATGAAAATAGATTTATTTGAAAATATTTCCATTTAATATCTACCTGATTTGGTGTATTCACATTAGCCCTTAATGCCTTTATTTTTTCTGCCTTTGTTGGAACTTTGATTAAATAATGATAATGATCCAGTACTTATTAGCCCAAATTTGTGCCATGAAATATCCAAATACACCTGGATACAACACTCAGCAGTCAAAATGGGAACAACTCTTTTGTGTGTCTTCAGAAATCTTGTTCTTACATAAATCATTTTAAGGATATTTCTAACAACCTTTACTGATATTGTCTGTTGAGAACACTACAAACATGGACAACTTGTGTGGACTGAAAATGTAAGATGATGTAACAGTTTTGATTCCTGAAACGTGAAGTATGTGCCAGTTTGTCAGGTAAGATAAAGTCCCAAGTGCTACAAATACGTTAGTCAGCCAACAGTTACTTCAATCACATTGTAAACATCGTCTCTAAGGCCTCGATTCACATCTGAAACACATCAGCAGTTGTTCTTTGTGCTACCACAGTGCCTTGCCGTTGAACACATAAAGAGTACAGGCATATTAAATGAGAGAGAGAGGGGGAAATATATTAGAAACAAGCAGACGGGAATATAAGCCTTTCTTCGAAACCATAAAATAATAATTACAACCCTGTGTCTGACTGTAAGAGATAAAAAAAAATACCAACACTATTCTCTTAAACACTTCCTTTCCTTTGTTCTGTTTATTAGTGCCCAATTTATCTTTTAAGCTGCACATGCATCGTCTAAAAGGTCCCGAGTATCTCCCATGCAGCACATGTAGCAGCAATGGTTTGGAGGACCACGGCAGATACCAGTATGTAGTGTAGTGCTGATGCTCGTGCAGCAGTGCTTATTGTAGTTCCCATTTAGTCTCGCTGAGTCTTTCAGGAGAAGGTCGCAGTGAGGATGGCCTCTTGCTGCTGGTGATGGAGGGTCCCGATACCGACAGCAGGGGCGGGCAGAGCAGGTCGGCTCACTAACCGGAGCTGAAAGAGACAAAGGAGGTCTAGTTTGTGTAATATTAAAGGGACAGTTCACCCCAAAATCCAAAATACATATTTTTTCCCTAATCTGTAGTGCTATTTATCAGTGTACATTGTTTTGGTGTGAGTTGCAGAGTGTTGGAGATATTGTCTATAGAGATCTCTGCCTTCTCTTGAATATAATGGAACTAGATGGAACTCAGCTTGTGGTGCTCAAAGTGCCATAAAAAATACATTTGAAAACTCAACAGCAATGTCTCTTTCCAGAAATCATGACCCGGTGACTCAAGAAAATCCACAGACCTTGTTGTGAGCAGTTTCATGTAGGAACTATTTTCTTTCTACCAAACTACAGCCACCAACCGTATCACTGCACAGAAGGAAGAGTGCATCTACTCATGGATAAGAGGCTCATACTTTTGCGTGAAAACATTATTGGCGTCCTCCTCGGCTGAGCTGTAACGTTAGCTAGCTGAGTGGTGCTAGGTAAGCTAGAAGTAGATGCAGGCTTCCTTCTGTGCAGTGATACAGTTGGTGGGTGTAGTTTGGTAGAAAGAAAAAAGTGATGAATGAAATGAATGAAATGAAATTGCTCACAACAAAGTCTGTGGATTATCTATGATAACCAGGTCATGATTTCTGGAAAGAGACATTGCTGTTGAGTTTTCTAAATGAAACGTTTTGGCACCACAAACTGAGTGCCATCTAGTTCCATTATATTGGAGAGAAGGCAGACGTCTCTACAGCTGATATATCCAACACTCAGCAACTGACACCAAAAAAATCTACACTAGTAAATACAACTACAGGTAAGAGGAAAAATATGTATTTTTGATTCTGGGGTGAACTGTCACTTTAAGAATTTCAGAAACATTAGGGTTCACATTGTTTGCTCACCTTGCAGGCCAGCTGCTTCTCAAACCTGGGTGCTACAAACGACCAGGGACCCATGTTCTGCGGCTCCTCCTGACTCCACACAAACTCTGAGGGGGATATTTTTTAAAATTACTGATATTGAAAGTAAAAGAAGATATGACTCATCAAACATGTGACTTGCTCCTGCAGCTTGGGGAGTTCTTTTCTTTTGCCCTGCAACTGCGGACGGTTTGATCCAGATCAAACTGAAACTGTCTGTGATTCACTTTGGGAGGGTGAGAACAATGAAATAGTGAGAGCGGAAGTGAAACCTGAACTTTCAAGGTTACAGAGGTTTACAAAAGTCAGCTTTCAATGACATTTGAATAACTAAAACTCCAGCCTTGGAACATGCAGTGCCTTTACTCAACAAGATTTCAAGTGGTTCACTGTTTGTGTAGACAGGGAAAATAATATATTATATTTTAATATGATTTAAGCTCATGATAACCCAAATAATTGATTAGCTGTTTTACAGAAAGATAATCAGCAAACATTTTCTCATATATGAATACTGCAGGTTTTCTTGCTCTTCTGTTGTGCTAAACTGATTATCTTTGGTTTATGGACAGCTTAAATGGCGAAAAATTGTGATGGTTGTTTCCACTATTTTAGGACATTTTAGTAACAAAATTATGTATTACTATTATTTTTTGATTATTTTTTGGTGCTTTTGCTTTTTTTTATTAGACAGGACAGATCCAGAGCAAAAGGGGGGACGACATCCAGCAAAGGGCCATGGGTTGGAATTGAACGTGCGGCCTCTGCGGCGGCAAGGACAAAGCATTTTTACATGGGGTGAACAATATTGCCAAATTAGAATCAACAGAAAAATCCTCAGCAAAACCTTTGAATGGTATGAGAGCTACTGCATTTATATTAATCTGCACCACCTCCTCATGCTCTTAAAAATTCCAGTCAAGAGAAAGTTTCAGAGTGAGCGCGTCAACATAACCATCGAAACCCACGACTGAATTCCCAATACTGCAGCAAGTAGCGTCCTCCTCCCTGCCCCACATCTACCAACCACCTGCTCATGCCACAAGAAGAAAGGTAGAGACCCCTCCTGTTGGCAAAAGCCGTCTCACGCGTCGGCTCATCCAGATGTTCTCCACATTGTTTTTATGTTCATGCAGAGACGCAGCACAGAACCCCTAGGCACTGTGATAAACTGTATAATGGCAGGTAACACCCTGGTGTGGATGGATATCATGGATAAGGGAGAAACATTTACAGTGATGAAAGCATGTGCGCTGTTGTGCTGATAAAACTTAATGGGAGCAAGAAATGTATTGTTGTTTTACTTCAAATCAAACAGCATCAAAATAATAACAAGTGCTGTAGTAGACACTAAAGTCTCTTAGGGTGTTTTCACATATGGTTCTCTTTAAACAAACTGAATTCAGTCCTCTTAAAGTGCACCTAAAAGTGGACCAACAGAAAAGAGACTCAGTTCTTGATGTGGTCACATTGTCACTTCATTTGAAAGAGGACTCAGTTCTCTTTCTGGTCACCTTCAGCTCTGATGGGGCCTCAGTCCTCTTTCTGTTCACACTACAGCTTATATATAATATAATTGACATAGTTTTGATTTTACTTTGACGTAATTTTGTTCTGGTTTTGCAGTGTGTTGTTCCCAGTTTCTGTATAGCTACATGTGTTATCACATTATCTGTTGGGCGACCACCACTGGTTGTATATGTAGAGGTGTGTCTCCTTATCTCATTCATGTCTGATGAAGGACTGGTGCCAGAAACATCCCATGTGATACGATTAAAATTCCAAAAGGAGCAGTTTCTAGTGTGCAGACCTGATTTTGTATTAAAGAGTAAAGCGAACCTGGAGTGTTCGCAAGGCACAGGTCAAGTGAACCGCACCGCAGACTTGAAGCGAACAAAACTCGTCTGGTTCGCTTCAGAGGGGTCTGAATGAATCTGTTTAGAGGGCTGAAAAGGAACAACACCCTTAGAATATGGATAGTTTGGTAGAAGGAAGTATTTGACATGAAGGTATATGAGTGTCATCATGAATGTATAATTTGTCCATGGTCATGGTTTGGTATTTTCAGATGCCTCGGAGTCCTTCACACTTGGCGTACATTATGTGAAGAGACAGTGTGTCTGCCGGTTAAGATAAGATGAGGACCTTGCAGATGTCCCGACTCCCAAGATAAACAGACTGGAACAAAAGTTACCCATCATTGTTTTGACTCCTGCGTGGTGGTGATTGTTGGTATGAAGTTTTTGCTATGACTGTGTTTACGATCTTCTCAGTCCAGATTTGTGTTGTAAGAAACTCATTGAGTTATTCGTCCATTCATCTAAGACTGACCTGAAGGACAAGGAACCCAGGAACACGTTTGACGTTTTTAGACAGCCTGACGGAAGAAACTCTCAAACAAAGATTGCATAGAGTTAAAGAAACACTCAGAGGTGACTTCAGGATCATCTGACGTGATGTAACTGTGCTGCAGTTCGTCAGAAGAGCAAAAATCGTCTTTACTAAAAACACTTAACCCACAACTGCAAAGATGTCTGGGTAAAGAGAAGGATGTTGACACTGATAGCTTTTAGTTCCTCATGCTCGGAAAGTCTTGCATAACAAAGTGAAACAGTCAGAGTCTGGATTGACACTCATTCAGCGTGGACAAAATAACAGAGACACTTAACACAAAAGCCCTGCAGTGAAAACCAATCTGCTGAAGATCATGCTTTAGATTTTTGTTTGACACCAACACTGATGAACTGGCATTTCTTGTTTCTTTGTAAGTTGTCTAATGTTTTTTCTTCAGGACTCTGTCTGAAAGTGGCGACTGTCAGACTTCTATTGAAGTTGCCGCATGCCGCTGAGTGGCATTCAACTTAGTGTGACTCACTTAAAGAGCAGCTTTTGTAATTGTTATTCTCCCCAATGCTCAAATTTCGACGGCTGTGTCATCAAGTGGTCCCGAGCGTATTGAAGAAAAATCACTCTCCTCCAAGTAAACAATGTTAAACTGAAATAACTTTGTGTTGTCAGTGAGAGGTCGAAGGTCAATGCTCACTTTAAATCACTTTCACTGGAGACTTAGAGCAAATAAGAGTGTCATCCTGAAAATATAAAGAGAATTGAATAACATATGTCTCAGCAGGACATAGACCTGAAACTTTACAGAATATGTAGTTTTATCAGACGTTGTTTTACAGCATATTTAAGCTTGGGGTAAGGAACTACGACTTGTCTGTGTGTGGGAAAAACATTATATAAATAAACTTGTGTTGCCTCTTGTGCACCAGTCAGACCGCAGTATGATGTAATGTGCATATGCACAGGGCCTTAGAAATTATGACATTATGCAAAACACAGCGAGCACGTTGGGGAAGAGGAACAGTGGACACAAAGAGACAACAGATTACATTACACACTGCCGTCTGACAGAATTACCATCAAGCTGAATATACTGACTGTATACATGAAAATCGAACATACAGTGGACTTAAAATTTGTTTTATAAGTCATTTCAGTGCATCTTAAAAATGTCTATTTGGCCTTCGATGTTTTTTAAGCAAGCATTTTACTGAACTGAGGCAAAAAATATATCAGATAAATTTATATTGTCAATAACTGATGATACAAACAATCATCAGGTGAAGCCCTAAATCACATATTATGAACTTTAATACATTTATATTAAGTTTGGGGTTGTTGTAGGGGCTATTAATTAGTTGTCTTACTGTAGAGGACATAAAATGACTGAAGAATCAATTAATAAATAATAAAATTCATAAATAAATATAGGAATAAATAAATAAATTAATAGATAGACAAATTAATCAATAAATGGTAAAATAAATATGGAAATAAAGAGATAAATGCATAAATAAATAAAGTTGATGAGTAAACAGGACAAATAAATATCTTAAATTTAATGGTACATTTTATCACAATTATTTCTATTTATGTATATTATATTATTAATGTTTATATTATCTTATTTATTTTCTATTGCCATAATTTCATGTATTTATTCATGTATTTACTTTTGTATGAATCTATTTATTTCTGTCTGTATGTTAATGAAGTAGAAGATCCTGACATCTGCCTTAGTTAATTAATTATTTCTTTATTTATTTGTCTGCATGTTAATGAGATAGAAGGTCGTAACATCTGCATGTATTTTTATTAATTTATTTCCCCCTTTTTTTAGCATTAATTAATTGTTTCATCTATTTATTTCTGTCTGTGTGTTAATAAGGTAGAAGATCCTGACCTCCACATTTATTAATTTATTTCAGATTTTATTTATTTATTTATGGATTTATTTATTTCTGTATTCCTCCATGCATGTTAATGAGGTAGGAGGTCCTTGCATATGCATTTATTTTTATTTTTTTCCATATCTCAGCATGTATTTATGCTTTCATTCATTTATTTCTGTATTTATTTACTTCTATATAAATCAATTTATTTATAGGGTAGACGGTCCTGACATCTGTATTTATTAATTTATTTTTTTCTTTTTAGAATTTCAGAATGTATTTATGTATTTATATCAGCATGTATTTATTATTTTCTTTTATTATTTCTGTATTAATTTATTTATGTCCATATGTATCTATTTCTGTGTTTCTGTCTGTTTGTTAATGAGGTAGAAGGACCTAACCTTTGCATTTATTTATTTTTTTATTGTCATATTTGTTTCAGCATTTATTTCTTCTTTTATTTATGTAATTATTTTTGAATTTATTTACCACTGTATGAATTCACTCATTTCTATATTTCTGTGTCTGTATGTTAATGAGGTAGAAGGCCCTAACTTTTGCATTTTTTTATTTCTTTATTTCCATATTTATTTCAGCATTTATTTATTCTTTTTTCTTTTATTTTCATATGTATTTCTTTATTACTGTGTTCCAATATTTCTTTATTTCTTTACTGATATTTATGTCATTTTTTACCCTCTATACTCTACTGAAGACCAGATATTATAACATATGGTGAGGAACACAGTCAAGTGCTTCAGGCTGAACTGTTCACAACAAAAACAATGTTGTTAAAGGGTTAATTTGATTTAACAAAAACCTAAATAAAATGGGGGATGAACTTTTCCTCAACAATTGGACTGAAATCAAACTGTAGTTGTGATGTAACTTCTGCAGTCAAGTGTGCCCACTGACAGTGAAGGTGGAGGTCCCACACATACCTTTGGCGTTGGGGTATTTTTTGAGCTCCTGCTGCAGAGCGTCCAGTGGAAACGGACACAGCTCCTCCAGTCGGATGAGCGCTGTGTTCTGGTTGGCTCCTGCTGTCTCCCTCTGTTTCAGCAGGGCGTAGTAATGCTTCCCAGAGCACAGCACCACCTTCTGGACACTGTGTGGAATAACAGAAAAATGGGCTCAGTGGATCGTATGGGACATGCTTTTTAAGGGTCTTCCTTGTTTTAGCAGGTTGTATTAAAGGGCTGTTCAAAACATCCACGTTTTGGGGGGGGGGAAGTCCACCTAACACCTAATTATTTCTTTAAATATTTTTCACCACACTGTGGACAAACTACAGAATAAATTACAACCACTGAAGAGGTCTAAAAGTTCCATCAAAGTTCTCTGTACCTTTGAGGTGAGACTGAAGTGTCACCCAACACTGGTCTGAAAGACGTTCCTGGTGCCATTTCAGCCAGACTGGACGCTGCCCCCTGCAAGAACAACACACATTATTCGGCCACTTGCGCGGAAATATCTGAGAAAATGAATTTGTTTTGCATGTTACATGTTTCTGCAGCGCTTACAGAGAATCTGAGCAGCATCTTGGGTCCAACCACAATGAGAGGTTTGCGGAAGTTCCGGATCATCTGCCTCCTCAGCAGGTGGAAATACTGAGCAGATGTGGTGGGGTTGACCACAGCCATGTTCACGTTGTCACCGTCCACACCCTCTTCTTTACTGTCACACATCTAGGAGACAAAACAGGACAAGTTAGCAATCATTTACTGTACAGCTAACATTTAACATAACATGTAACTGACTAGAAACCTGCCGGTCAGTTGAGAAACATCTAAACTTGAATCGGTAAACCAGCAGAGACAGATCAAGGCTTTGAAAACATACAAAATGCATGTTAAAATACAGCTAAAATGCCACATAGTGGACCATCCCATGAACAGCCACCGACTTCAGACAAATGCTATGTCTTTAATCTCCGCTTAGTTATTAAATTGTGCACCAGGGCTGACTTAAAGCCTTCGAAGCTTCAATGGTTGCCATGTTAACCGATGTCCAAATCAGTATTCAAAAGCTCCATTCTTCTATACCCTAACCCAGAAAATCCAAAAAAGCTCATAAATTAAGATATAAGAATCCAACATAACTCATTATGCATTAACATTAATTATTAGTTAAAGCTATAGTGCGTAACTTCTACAGGTCCGTTTCACCCAAGCCACTACTAGAGGAGATGACACAATGCTGATTAAGCCGATCAGATCCTCTAACATCTCGCGGTAATTTCAATATATATCATTTTTAGTATGCGTGTAGACCGGCGACATTCCCGTGCTGGCGCACAGGAAATGCTTCCTCACAACAAGAAGGGAGGGGGAGGACGAACAGACAGTGTCACAGCAAGAGGTAGAGCGCAGGTAGAAGGTGAAAGCAACATGGAGGAGAAGCGGCCGAGACACGGTCCAGAAGTGGATCCTACCACAAAGAAAAAGCCTGGACGTTCAGCTGAAGGTCTATTAGCAAAGAAGGAAAGTGACCGACGGAGAAGGCAAACAAGGATTTGCATTGGCGTCGCTTTTCCTCGGTGAAGAGCCCTGAAGGAAGAAATTGGGCTGAGGGCAGACAAGGATGTTGCCTTGCTGCTGCTGGATAAGTAAGTGACTTGGTTTATAATTATATTATGAGTAGTATGTGTTGCTGTTACATGTACTGGACCTAGTACTTTATTATTTTCTTGGAAATGGTGCTATGAACGTCATGTAATGTTAGCAGCCTGGTGTTCACCACGTTGTGTAGCATTGTGTACACGGTGTGAAGCGAGTGTTACTCTGTGTACATGGTGTGTGGCAACTGGCCAGTGTTACTCTGTGTACGGTGTGTGGCGACTGGCGAGTGGTACTCTGTGTACACGGTGTGTGGCGAGTGTTACTCTGTGTAACACTCGGCTTATTAGTGGTAATAACGCATTATCCGCTGGGAGGCGACAGAAGTTACGCACTATAGCTTTAACTCAGACACGAACATTTAAGCTTAATGACAGGCTCAGTTTTGTGACTTGTTATTAGCATGTGTGTGATCTGAACACAAGTGGAAAGCTGAGACACATCGCTGTACACACCTGTGTCTATTACGCATTTCCAGCTGACCACTTGTTGTGTGTGTTGAGATTTTATCACTGGCCACATCACTTGCCTTAGACGTTTAAGAGCCCAGCACACTGTTATTATGTCTACACTCTCGCTAGCTGCTCGCTAGTCACATTAGCAGTTGTGTCAGTAGAGCTGGAGATATCGCTGTCAACAGAATTCAACATGTCTCCTTCCACAGGGCAAAATGATGGACGATCATGCAACAATTAGTGCAACTTGTTGTGAAATGGGCAAGCTATGGAGCAATAACCCCTTGTCACCAAAGCAACCGCCATGACCGACATTGATGATGTAGCCCTTGTCAGGGACGCATCAGGACACATTAGAGTTTACACTACAGAGGATATGTGGTCAGATTGGATCACAATGCATCTCTGTGTTCACTTACACCTGTTACAACACTACAGAGCAGTTGTGTCTCAGAAGGCAGAGCAGGTCGTCCGCTAATTGGAAGATCGGAGGTTCGACCCCCGGCTCCTCCAGTTCGCATGTCAAAGTATCCTTGGGCAAGATACTGAACCCCAAATTGCTCCCGATGGCTGTTCCATCGGTGTGAGTGTGTGTGAATGGCTACTGAGTAGCAGGTGGCACCTTGTATGGTAGCCTTGGCCACCAGTGTATGAATGTGTGTGTGAATGTGACATGTAGTGTAAAAGAAAAATGCTACAGAAGTGCAGTCCACTTGTGATCGGATCACTCAAGACTCATGTTAATACCAGGTCTAAACAGGCTCTTTGACCACCAATGACAGGGTTAAAGATACTTTAGCAAGGTGTCAAAAGAGTCAAGCTTCTGAAACAGTTTCAAAATTTACAAAGATGAACCCCAAAAAGTTGAGCGCCAGACAAGCCAAAGGAAACTGGCACATCACAAACCTACAACCAGCTTTGCAGATCATCTGAAAACTGTTAGTAACAGCAGCCATCTTGCAGAGTATTCTTTTTCTAGCTCTTATGGATAATGTTACTATGAACTGCATGCTGACAAAGTGGTTAACGGTCACACTATTTTAGGTGCACTTACTGAAAACTGATGTTTTCATAAAATGTCCTCTCATCTCTCATTACCACCCCTGCTTCTATTAATCCTGGATATTTCTTACTGAAGCTTTGATGCCCCAAAACTGGTCTTGTGTGGAGCGCAAGCAGAGTGCAGGGCATGTGTGTGACTTTAAGCTCACAATCCTACATTGCATCACACTTAGAGATCAATAAAATTACAGCTGTGTCACTAAAGCTGTGATGACGCAAAATAATTACGATCATTAAGTATCTGAAGTCTCTATTTACCGCTCAATACAGTGTAAATGACAGAGTGCCTATTATGTGAGTAAACAGTGGAGTGATTTCCGACACAATCTGATGCCTGTTGTCTGCTGATTGCTAATGGACGATTAGGATACATTATCTCCGCTGATTTGTTATTGATTACTCCTGTTAATGGCCTGTTAATTATATACTCTGAGCTGCACCATGTTCCTTTGCACTGAAGAAAGATGTCATGGACTGGCCACGACACAGTATTTCATTTAAATGTGATTCATTAGCTCATTTCTTAAGTTTTCCCAGTATGCAGGTGTCTGTTTGTTTATTTAGATCTTTTCACCAGCACATGAACTCAGTTTAACAGTTACAGTATAATCGAGGGGCCAAGGGGCGCTGGTCCACAAAGTGTAATCTAAAACTCTTCTTTATACCTCAAAGCTTTAACTGGACTGAGGCTTTAACTGGACTGAAGTGAAAAGATAACCTCTGTTCTAGCTGAGGTGAAACATTAAACCTCCATGAAAACTTCCAAGGTTTTTTAGTGTATCATAAAGCGACACCAGATGAATCTGCAGAAATTGAACATGTGGTCATGCAGTGTTCACGTCACATGTGATGCAAATAGAGATTAAAAAAGATCACCACTTGTGATGGTTCACGTCATTTGACTACTCAAAATCGATTGAATGACGGCAAAGCTGGTTGTATGAGTGAAAAGAAATACTGTGTGCTGACAACTCGCACTGTAATTTGGACTCAACTACCTTTGTCTCACCTGAGGCGTCCATGTTTGTTTTGTTTTCCAGCAGTAACATAATATTAAAGGGTAAGTTAAGTGTTAGGTGTCAAACTGTGTCAAAGTGAATAATGGAGACAACAGTTTTTGAAATTGGTCCAGTATTGAGCGAGAGCTGCAGCAACAGCAGCCGTGAAACAGGCAGCAGTATAACCATTCGGGGGATGTTCTCAACGTCAATTCACGTCCATTAAAAGCGCTTGTTTTGTCCACTGACAGGCTCAGATTGTTACTTTAAGTGTCTGACAACAGTATGGAAAGGATCTTTTTGTTAAAGAGTAAGATCCTTTTTGTTTGACCAGAAACAGCCCTGAAGTCCCTACTGCCAAACCCTCCAGACTCCATTTAAATAAACAGTAATTTTAGTGTGTATATGGACAGCATGTTTTAACATCTAACTGGGTGAATTAAGGGTTTATTTCAACCAAACCAGAAGTGGTTATTGTTGGAAAATTGGAAAAATGAACATAGGTGATTTTTGTATGTGTTATTTTGTTTCTCTAAACTCTGGATGAAGTGTGTTTTATGATGATAAAACCACAGTTTGGTGGATTTGGTGATGGCGATTTCAAAGCTGTTCCTGGTCAAACAAAAAGGGTCTTAGGGCGCATTCACACCAGGATAGTCCAGGGGGACTCGGTTCGATTGGGTGGGGAATGCCGAAAAATTTCACACCATTTGGTTCGGTTCAAACAGCCTGGACAACGTCAAGCAGTTACAACAGATGCTCATGTGGGGGCAGTATTGCCCAAAATGGCCACTGACCAGGAAGAAAAAAAGCACGAGGAAGAAGAAAACCAGGCTCATCGATTGGCCAGGACTGAAAACGGAAATCCATCCCTTCAGCCGGCTTGGTCACCACAGAAACAATGGAGCAAATTTACGCAGTCATGGGGTTCTGTTTTTACGTTTTTACCTCTGCTTCTCCTGGTTTGTGCTGTCGGCTTTGTTTGTTTGTTTTTTTTTTCAACCCAAAATGCACTGCGCTCTACGTCATTTCCTCAGGGTTCACTTGCAAGTGAACCGAGACCCCCAGTTTTCAAGTGGACCAGGGTTCGCTCGTTTGGTCCGCACCAGAGTTCAAATGAGCATTCGCACCACTCCAAACGAACCAAACTATCCATGGAAGCGGCGGGGGTTCATTTAAAGCGGACCAAGGAGCGGCAGTGTGAATTCGTCCATTCTCTTTCACAAAAAGGTCGAACTCTGTAGGGATCCTTTCCAAAATATCGTAAGACAACTATAATGACAGTCTGAGCCTGTCAGTGGCAAAAACAACCACTTTTAGTAAACGTAACTAAACAGTGAGAACACCTCGAGTGGTTACATGGCAGCCTGTTTAGCTACTGCAAACTGCAGCACTGTCGCTATAATACCAGACCACTTTCAAAAAATGTTGATCCCATTACTCACTTAGACACAGGATACCCTTTGAGTGCCAGGTCTGACGTGTCACTTCTAATTACATCTGGGATGCTGACATGAACGCTACTGACACAAATCATAAAGTGGTAACTTGATTTGACACTGGTTACATGTCAGTCCCACAGACCTGGAGGAAGCGTTCCATACGGCAGGATGAGTGTTCAGGTCCGGCTCCATCGTACCCGTGAGGCAGCAGGATCACCAACCCGCTCTGCAGCAGCCACTTGGCTTCACCTGGGGACACAGCAGCGTCACATCTGATGTGTGAACATTCTTCCAGAAATAGAAGATAATGAGAGTAATGATGAATCTGTGGTCAGAAGTTTACCTCCGGAGAGGAAGGTATCAAAGATGATCTGCGCTCCGTTGAAGAAATCTCCAAACTGAGCCTCCCAGATGGGCAGAAGCTTCGGCTGGGCGATGCTCATACCGTACTCAAACCCAAGCACCGCTTCCTCAGACAGCGGGCTGTTGCACACCTGAACACACACGAAGACATCACAATATGAAACAGGAGAGGATGAAATTGTTTAATATTATGGTTACAGATATTAAATGATTTAGACAGATTATGTTCAGAACAATTTATCTGGTTTACTATGATTTTACCTCGAGGAAACCTGTCTGCTGAGGGCTGATGTTGTTCAGAGGGATGTACATGTCATTAGTGTCTTGGCAAACAACCATGGCGTGTCGGTGACTGAACGTGCCTCTTCCAACATCCTGTCCGCTGATTCGAATATTAAAGCCTGTAACAACAATAATTTGAAATCTACAAATCCATTTCCTCTACTGAAATAAAATTCAATTACTCCTCAAGGGAAAAATCACCGCCTTTAACGTGGATGTCCAATTAGTGTTGATGGTAAATGTAGTTGATTGAGTCCTCCTGCTCATGCAGCCATGACGGCATTGCATGCAAGCTTCTGACACCCAGAGCTTTAACTGGTCTACAAGCCTATAGCTATGACTTTGTTGACTAAAACATAGTGTGACAAAAATATCTGCCACTCTTCCCTCTTGGCCCTGCTAGTCTTGGTTTTCTTTTCCAGTTTATCCTCGGGAACCTGAAGAAGGTCTCCAGCACACCTGGAGTAAAACTTTCATGCACAAACGGGCTCTCTTGGTGTCTGTGACATCATCCAACAAAAGATGCCTACAGTGAAATGTATTACAGCAGAATGATTTAGTTTCTGTTGGCATCAACGGCACCACCAGTTGGTGTTCAATCTCTGCAACTATGGCTGAATATCTCAGTCAGTCAGGACAATAAAAAATGTAAAATGTATCCTCGACCATAACGTGTTCTGCTTTCATACTGTAAGAGGCAATTAAAAAGTGTGTCCCACAATATTAAGGCCCCATATCATTACTGAACAAGACGCCTGGCAGTCCGTTTGTTATTATTCATAAAATGCTATTGATTTGCAGTCTAAAAATAGCCTACTAATAGAGCTGCCCCCCGATAGTCCAAACGTTAGACGACCACAAAGGTCATTAGTCGGCAAGATTTCATTGGTCCCTTAGTCACAGAAAAAAAACAAAAAATCAAATGTGAAACTCTATTAGGAGCTGCGTCTCATCAAAATAAATCAAAACCTATATGACTGGACCATGTGGGAATGTAATTTGAAAGGACAGACACAGGAAGTGGCCACACTCAGCAGTCAGACAGGAGTTACGTTAATTTCCAGGGCTGGTACCTGCGGTTATTCCACAGGCTAGTTAATAACATGTCGGGCAGGAAATCCAAAGTGTGGGATCATTTTGAGAAGGTGAAGGACGAACCCAAGGTGATATGTAAACTCATCTTCATTGGTCGACTACAAACATGACGTATCATCTGAAACATGTCAGTAGCTACATGCCCATTAGCCCACAGCGTCATTAACAGGCGGCTCGCTCAGTGTGTGACGTGCACTTGTAGATAAAATATAGGCCTATATTAATGAAGGTTCATTAGTACGGTTTTGTATTTCTCTATTACAATCAACACTGGTTGGACATCCACATAAAAGGTGGAAAATGTTCCATTTAAATTTGACCTGGTGTATTTGCTGGTTAACACTGACCTTGAGAGAGGAGAGAGCCCAAAGCCAAGGCCTCTGCTGTGGACCAGTCCAGTTTGGTTCCTTCTTCCAACTTGTTCAGCCTAGCCTGAGTTCACACAGGAAGAGGAACGAAATTATCTACCTGCTACTCTGTCAACAGACAGTCTAACAGAAATGACAGAGCCGGTGACCGTACCTGTGTGTGAGTCTTTCCAAGGTGGCTGTGCAGCTGGACTTGCTCAGGGATGTCCACAGACTTTGCTCCTACAAACTGCAGCAGGGGAATGGGGACGCCCGTGTCCCAGGTGGTGACTCTGGCCTGGGGTTCCACCAGGTCCCCCCAGCGGCCCTGCAGGTTGGTGGGTGGAGGGCTGTACACGGTCATGTTGGCCAGCTTGTCGTTGAGCATGCTGTAGTACTTAGACTTGATCTCGTCACGCTCAACATCGGTCATCAGACCCTCAGAGATCAGCAGGTCTGAGTAGGAGTCGGGGACGCTCTTACGAGATCTATGAGGACGCAACAACATGACAAGGATTCAGTCAACAGAACATGATAGACACAATATGTCTGTGGGGGAATAACATCATTTATTAATCTATACTAATGATCCAAGAAGTGCTTCGGGAGATACTGAAGCTTCTAAACCACCTGTGCTAGTTTTACTCTATTTTGAAAAAAAAAAAAAAAAAATAAATAAATAAATAAAATAAAATTGAAAATACTCAAAACCATGTCAGTTGAGATGCAACTTCGAGTGCTACTGTTACCACCAGGTCCACTTGTTAACAAAAATTTCAGTTAAAGCAAAAAAAGTGTGGATTTTTTGTAGTCTGTCTGCCATTAGGAACTTTGTATACTTTTAAATGCAAAGTATTTTATTATTTTAAAGATTTACATTAATCAGAAACCTTTTTTTGTATAAACTCTGTCTCTCTGGTCAGAGCCCAAACATGTAGCCTCTGCATATCACATAGAAAAGCCTGTTGCACCATTATTTCTCTACAGCAGTTGCGATTGCAATAAAATTGTTGAGTGAGACAATTTTTTTAAGGAAATGCTGCTGTGATGACCATTGATAAATTATCAGGAATTTGAATTAGAGAACTTTTGGTCAGTATTCAAACTGTTGTTTAAAAATGGTCAGACAATAAAAATGACACAGCATGTTACCACCCACAGCCCCTCCAGGATGTCGCAATCACAACAATTAACACATACTCAACCCATCCCTGTGAACTGCCCTTGCAATTGTGTTCGACTACCGCAACTTTTCCGCAAGTTTAAACAATTATGTAGTGTCCCGCAAATCAGCGAACTCACTTTCTTGTTTCTGGTTGTAAAGATTCAGAAATGAACATCTCTTATTTATCAACACAATTTATTGTTAAAGACTGCACGGCAATTGCCTTATGTTCTGCACAAAAGCTAAGATCAACTGTTGTGGTGCAACACACACAAAAGTCATCAAATGCCAAACGCTTATGCAGCAAAATACATCGTCAGAAAAGACAGGACAAATGGCCATGACAGACAGAGGCTGTTGGTGCATCCAGATCTACTGCACGTGCTGAAAGAATCAAGGTAAATTGGATTAAAAATGCAAAGTTAGTGTGGTGTAAGTAAGATAAGATAAGATACACCTCTATTGATCCCATAATTGAGAAATTCCAGTGTTACAGCAGTCAAGGAGAAAGAGTCAGATTAAAGATTTCAAAATTAAACTTAAAAAACTTAAATAACTAGGCATGCAAATAAGTACAAAAATACAAGAGACGGCGATAAAATAATGGAGGTGTGTTCGCCTGTTTGCTTGACAAACTGTGTGTGTGTGTGTGTGTGTGTGTGTGTGTGTGTGTGTGTGAGGGATAAAGATATTTTAATTTTATTTTCTTATATTTTAAGAATAAAAGGTCTCGAAAAAATGTTTAAACATGGTGTGAAAGCTTTTTTAGTCTTTTTGTTACGTTTCCTTCAAACACTCAGAACAGTGCCATTTTACACTTGATTTCAGGGCTGTTTCAAGTTGCCTTTGGTTTTTAATGAATTATATTTTTTTTCTCCTGCTGCTGAAATTCAATTGCAAAAAAAATCTAAAATCATTTCAACATGCATTATAATGTTTGAGAAAAACTGCTGTGAAACTGGCATTTTAGACCAAAACAATCCCAAAAAAACACACAGCCTCACATTTACTAACAAAAATCACTGCTAAAGAACATGCAGACCAATTTCCTGATGTTCTGCACAAAGGAGGGGATAAACTGTTTTCCCTGTGAGCAGCGTTGTGGTGGAACACAAATAACTTCGATTTGAAAACACTTTTGTACCGAAAAACACACCCTGAGAACGACTGAAACACAATGGACAGCACACAAGACAAATCACTTTGACAGAGGATCCAGATCTGCTCCAAGAGCTGAAAGAATCAAGATGAGTTAGATTAAATCTGCATAGTTAGCGGGAACATTGGGGTCGTATGAATCAAACTCAGAGCAGTGCGGTTTTATTCTCACTGGAACAAGTTGCCCTACATTTTTTGAAATTTTCTGGTGCTCCTGCAATTTCACTGCCAAAATCGATAGGATAAGACAGACAGCGATGTTTTAAAGTGAATACTGTCCAATAACTGATGATCTGCAATCATAACATGTTTCAGAGTTTTATCATCTGCTTAAGGATCCTGAGGAATATGCTATCTATGCTACAGTAACTTTTTAAGTGAATACGTTTTGTAACGTAAGTAAAGCAGGTGAATTTAACTGACCGGATGATCTTGTACATGGCCGGGTTGGTGAAGAAAGGCTCATCCAGCTCGTTGTGGCCCCACTGACGGTAGCAGATCAGGTCCAGGATGATGTCTTTCCTGAAGAGCCGCTGGTACTCTACAGCCAGCCGAGTGGCCCGCAGCACCTCCTCTGCATCATCGCCGTTTACGTGGATCACAGCACAGTTCACCATCTTACCTGTGGTGCAAATGTGACCATTAGTATCCGATTAAAACACGATACATGAAAACAAATCTCTAGACTTCAGCAATTCAGAAGGTATCAATACAATAAGTACAATCTGACAGAGGTTTCTGTGCTTTATAAGAAAGAAGCAAATATTAAATCACATTTTTCACTAACCGACGTCACTACAGTACAAAGAGGATCTCCCTCTCTCTGATGGAGTGGTGTAGCCCACTTGGTTGTTCACAATGAGGTGGATGCTCCCACCGACTCTGTAGTGAGGCAGGTTTGAGAGGGTCAGAGTTTCTGGAACGATCCCTTGGCCAGTGAAAGAGCCGTCACCATGGACCTGCGGAGAGGAGAGCAGAGAGTGTCTTCAAGCTGTCGGTAACACAGCAGGTTAGTTAATGACTCCTTTAACAAGGCCCAGAGGGGTTTAGTGTCATTACGCCCTGCAGAGTTTGAACCCTGAATCAGGACAGAAGACACTCAGATGTCCATTACTGAAGATCAACAGCTTGTGGTCAGGGCTGCGGACACGTTTATTTCTCTGTGGATCGGGTAAATTTCTGTCCTGTTTTGACTGGGAATTAGGTTTAATCTGCTGGGACATGTGACGGTCTGCACTGGAGAAAATTGCAAAGTTGTTTTAATTATGCTTTAAAATAGTAAAATGTAAGGATGTCCTGATCAAGTTTTTCTTCCCCTGATCTGAGTCAATTAATATTGAGAATCTGCCAAGTCCCAATCTGATACTTCTATTTCCCTAGATGATACAGCTGCACAGTGCACACTATAAGAACTTTTAAGTTATTAAACTCAATCCATTGTGAGATTTTGAGATTTGAGATTTAGTCTTTTTTTTATTTTTTAAATGGGACAATATGCATTAATGGACAATTACATGTAAATGCACAGGATTATAGCCAGATGGCTAATTTCCAACTCCAGTCCCACTGGCAGGTTGGTGTCAAACACACCAAATCAACAATGCCAACAGAAGAAAATAAAATACACAGAGAAGAACAACATAAGGACAACATAAGTAAACCACAAAGCACACAACAGGCGAAGAGTTGAGCGACCACAGAAATTTCAATCTGATTACAAAGTGCAGGTGTGCTAGTTAAAGTGGAGAGTGCCAAAGTGCTGAGTGCGTATTGCAGACGCCCCGGTATATGGCACATGCCCTAATGCAGTAAAGTGCATAGTGCAATAACAGAGTAAAGTGCATAGCGCAGTTTGTAAAGTGCCAATTTGCTAAGTGCCAGTTCACATTGCACAATGTCACCTACAGCACTTGACACACTTGCACATACAAATATGGTACCCCAACAAACCAGTTGCACAGATACACAGAACAATAATAAGAGAATACATTAAAATAATAATAATAAATAAAATAAAATTCTTAAGATGCATGAGTGCAAATTTGACTCTCTAGTAGCCATGTTTTGAAATGTCTAGTGAACGAGGCAAGAGTTGGCGAATCCTGTATAGTTCTTGGTAGAATGTTCCATGTCTGGGACGCTCGATATGAAAACACCATCAGTCCGAAAACACTCTTCCTGAGCAGGACTTGACAGTCCCCTCTAGAGCCGGCTCTCGTTGACCTCATAGAGTTCCTTTTCATAAATTCATCTAACGGAGGCGGAGCCAGACCATGGAGAATTTTGTAAAGGCACCTGTGTCGACCTATATTCTTGACAATTAAATAGCTCTGCAAGGTGTTAAGACGAAAAAAATCCTTCCATGAATTAAAGTCATGGACCGTAAGGACCTTTGTGATCTTAAGGGAAAATCATGGACATAAAGGACCCACTCCCCCAATCCCAAATGGATCCCTTACAGACTAGCCCTGGTCTTGGCCCTTCCCCTTGGTTTTAAGCATTCACATGAGGGGAAGTGGTGTCCCAATTCTCCGTCAGTTTAGCTCTTAACCTGATGGTAAGGGATCCATTTGGGATTGTCCTCGATGCTGCAATGTAACCCCGCTTCTTTTCATTGTTTGTTTTACACATTGTTAAGCATTTCACCTTCACCTATGTCCCTGCCTGGTGTCCCTGATTTTGTCTGTTCGTTTCTTGTATAAAACAATAAAAATAAAGTCTAAAAAAAAAAGATAAAGTATAAAATAACAAACCCTCTGGCTAATCTTTTTGGCCTTGTCGCTGGCTTGAAGGAATTCTCTGTAGGAGAGTATTCTCCAGTGTTGGTTGCTTCGGTGCAGCCTGTGTCTGAGCCGCCTGAATCAGTTGTGTTCCTCTGAGTGTTTACTTTCATCATCTGGACTTCTTTTACACACATTAATTAAGAAATTACTCTTAGTTTGAAGTGGTGTGGCGAGTTTGTGCCATAGATGACAAACAAGCAGTATGTCACACTGAACTGAAATGAAACAGTGTTCATAACTCTGGTTAGTAACACAATAAACGGCCTCATTCTGCATTTTGCTTTTGTTTAAGCTGTGTAGTGTTTTGCCACGGTTGGGGCTCAGTTTGCACAAAGGAGCTCAGCAGAGAGGAGGAAAGAGAAAGGGAGAGGAGAGAGGAGCAGTGGAGAGTTGGGGAGTTGATGACGGCTGCACTCATTGCGTTGCTGTGCATGAAAGCTTCGTGGGTAAAAAACACCTGCAGATGTAAAATAAAGGATGGGATCGAGCTCTATATGCTCAATATAGCCGATTACGATCACTTGAAAAAAATGACCTGATCGCCCCCGGCACCAATTTTTAAGATCGGATTGGGACATCTTGAGTAAAATGTATTGATGGACAGTCAGGAGGGTGATTTAAAGACTGGAGCTCCTTTTAGGGCTGCTAATCACTGCATTTATATACTGTATCATATATATGGACAGATATATGGACAGACGGTGGTACTAAAAGGAGAATAAGAATATTTTATATGCAGTAATACATATGTATATACACACAAGCTGATCACTGGCATATTATCAGAGTCGCTGGATAGATTTGTTTTGCTGTAAAGTGATGGGAAATAAAAATTTGATCACACAAAATAAATATGCACGTCATCGTCCTCTCTGTCCCTCTCCATGTTTTCTAGACGGTCTCTCTACTGTTACTGTCAAATAAAGGCAAAAGCATTGAACTGCTCTTCCTCTTTTTGTAAACTTTAACTTCTTGGCTGCGTGTCTAGATCAGCTGTTGCGTACCTGCAGACAGACGACTTGGTCCCCGGGCTGCGCGCTGTCTTCAGGTGAATAGTCTCCTTCCTGTCTGAGCTGCTGCCTGGCTCGGGTTTTGCCCTGAGCCACGGGGTTGATCGCCTCGAGGTGAGATGGGTTGGGCAGCATTGTCACATGAAGAGGGTGTTCAGCTCCGAAATCCAGCTCCACTGAGGAGGTGAGGTGGGAGAGGACGTCACCGATGGCAGGTGAGGTCTCCGGGAACTCGCTAAGGCCGCGCATCTTACGGAACATGAGCTGCAGAGAGAAACGATGGAGGATCAGTGTTGGTTGATGTTATCGCACCCCCGTTTACTGTTTGGCAGCTGGCTGTGGCTTTCTGTTTACTTGTGCTGCTGATTACAGTCATGCTAAATAAACAATCTAATCCTGTCAGGTCATGGATGATTTCAAAGTGTATACGTCTCGCTGAATATGGCTGACTGACCTCGGGTGGGAACTTCAGCAGGCCTGTCAGGAGGTTGAGTCGGCCTCTGTGCGGCATGCCGATGACGATGTCAGTGACTCCGCTGTGGGCCGAGTGGTGGAAAAGCTCATGGAAGAAGCCCATCATGCTCTCTGCTCCTTCTCCTCCGTAACGTTTCACAGTGGCAAACTTGGTGGCCAGAAAGTGGTCGAATTCCTGCAGGTGGTGAGAGAGAAAGTAAAGAAACAGATTAAAAACACATGCATGTCATTTTTCTGCATCCTCCTCTTTCTTCTTGGACCAACCTGAGACTCCAGCATGAGCTTGGCCAGCTTCTTCCTCTCCTCGGTGGAGAAACTCATCTTCTTGAGTTCCTCAAAGCGGTCAGCAAACCACTCCCTCTCCTCCATGCTGCTCAGCTGGCTGGTCTCCACTGACAGGTGGCCACAGTAGGCTCCTTCCAGGTAGGCCTGAACCTCCTCCACTGAAGCCTCTGCCTTGCCAAAGTGTCTTAGACCTGCAGGAGAACATTAAATAAGTCGTGATAACACCGACAAGTGATGGGTGATTGTCATGTTTTACTCCTTGGGACTGAAGCACCACTGTCGTTGGCTCTAATCTTATCTAATCAATAACTATTTCATCCCTGGTGTGAATGGTGAATGAAATTAACTAACTGGCTTTTCACAAACTCATCTGCACTTTTAGTTTCACCGCAGTTGTAACACTGTCCGGCAGCTCTTCACATCCTGGTTTATAAAACAAAACCATGTACGATGTGAAATGTCTTCACTGGCTCCCTGTTGAGTTTAGGATCCATCAAAATTCTCATTCTTGGGGCGTCGGTAGCGTAGTGGATAGTGCCGGTGCCCCACATACAGAGGCGATGCCTCGCTGCAGCGGTCGCAGGTTCAACTCCAGCTTGCAACCATTTGCTGCATGTCATCCCCCCACTCTCTCTCAATCCTCCATTTCACTCTCTCCTGTCAATTAAACGCAAAAGCCCAAAAAAATTCTTATTCTTACTTACAAAGCATTTCACAGTCAGCCTCCTTCTTCTGTGGCTGAACTACCTCACCTGTATTCTTCAGCTCGCTCTCAGCAATCAAATACGCTAAATTTGTTGTCTGTCCCTTGAACTCCAAAGCGGAGTTAAGAATAAACAATTTAAAAAGGATTACCGGGTTTCTGTAAATCTGGTCTGTGAGAGTTACATTTTCACTAGGCAATAACTGTGGTGGAGTGTAACTACTGTGACTAAATTTATTCAAGTAGTCATTTAGAGACAGCTTTACAAGCACCTACGGCCAATTTCAAGTCACCAATTAACCTGCATGTCTTTGGACTGTGGGAGGAAGCTGGAGTACCTGGAGAAAACCCACACTGACACAAGGAGAACATGCAAACTCCATTAGAGCATGTATGACTCTCTCTGTGATATTGAAGTGACCTACATTTGCAGATATTCCTCAGCTGGTAAAAACAAGACTGGACTACATTCTTTACATGTTGCTCCAGTGTCAAGTTACTGTCCAGAATGACACAGATTTTTTACACCTGATTTTATGTTCGGAGCGAGGGAGCTGACGAGCGGCTGAATTTGTTATGACATATGTTCAGGGACAAGGATGAAAACTTTTCAGAGTTAAATTTTAAGAAGTTTTGGGACATCCAGCTGTTTATGTCATATAGGCAAAATACATTGTAATAATACAATTCCCTGACATTATATAAAATAGTTCAAATTAGCTCCACCTTGAGCGGCTCCCTGGGCTGCAACTAGTGCTCATTTACATTACTGATTATTTTCTCGATTAATCGTTTTGTTGTTTTGTCTATAAAATGTCAAAAAATGGTGACAAATGTCAGTGGAGTTTCACAAAGTCAGAGATGACGCCCTCAAATGTCTTGTTTTGTCCACAACCCAAAAATTTTTGGTTTACTGTCACAGAGGAATAAAGACACCAGAAATATTCACATTTAAGAAGCTGAAATCAGAGATTTTTTTCTTTAAAAAAAAATACTCAAACTAATTCATCAATAATACATTAGCTGGTTAATAATTTAATAGTTGACAACTAATCGATTTATCAATTAATCGCTGCAGCTCTCGCAATCACAACGGTATAATTCTCTTTTTTTTTAAAGATATTTTTTGGGGCATTTTTAGCCTTTAATTGATAGGACAGACAAGCGTGAAAGGGGGAGAGAGAGAAGGAGTGACATGCAGCAAAGGGCCACAGGCTGGAGTCGAACCCAGGCCGCTGCGGCAACAGCCTTGTACATGGGGCGCCTGCTCTACCACTAAGTCACTGACGCCCCACAACAGTATAATTCTATTTACACATTACTGCATCTGTCATATTAATAGAATAAAATAACTGTATAATTGTATAGTAATAATATAATATAATTGGGGGCAGCGGCGGGTAGATGCAGAGCCGCCAGTGCTCCTCCTGGGCACTGCCGAGGTGCCTTTGATCAAGGCACTGAACCCCAAATTGCTCAGGGCGCCTGTCCAAGGCAGCCCCCTCACTCTGACATCCCTCCATTTAATCCATCCTGTGCATGTGTGTATTTCAGGCCTGTGTGTATATGATGACAGAGTGATGATTGAATTTTCCTCAGGGATTAATAAAGCATATCTATAGTATATCTTCTCTTCTTCTGATACTTTTTTTGTAGAAGTACATTTTGCTTAAACTAATTAAATACTTTTACTTATCCATCAGTAAGATTTTAAATCCATAACTTTTACTTGCATTAGAGTCCTTCAACATGGTTGTACTGCTCCTTTCACTTTTATTAAAGTCATAATTAGATAAAGTTAAAATATCTAAATATGACTTCTTATACTATCTGTGAATCATTGGTAGTGTTTATCCTGCAATGCATGAAAAAATGCATGAATAAAAATGATAGGTGACACAATGTTGCATGTATAAAAGCAATAAAACATGGTTAAGAGAGGATATTGTTATTAACCCAACTTGTGCTGCATGTGGTCTGCAGGTGTCCACACACACTGTCATGTACCTGAGGTGTTGAGTTTTCCTGTGATGGTGCCATTCAGCATGTTTATCTCCGGGATGTTGTCAGTTACAGGCTTCTGGGGCAGTAGGGGGTTAATTTTAGCAGCCTTGTGTCCATATGCTCTGTATGCCTCCACCAGACGGGCAAGACCATGATCTGCAAAACAACATGCAGCAGCCAGAGGAGCAGTGCAGGAAACACAGTGTCAGACACTAACACACATTAACTATGATCCAAGTGACAATATAAAGCACGTTTATGTGACATTAGCACAGTGTGTCGTGTCACCAGGTGATGTAGAGCTGACCACACTGTGTATTAACCCCATACTGACCTTGGTTCAGCGCTGCGATGCGGTCGCTGTCTAACTTCAGTGTCCTCTCGGTCTGTTTGGGCCGGTACCCGTAAACACCTCTCTCGGTGTGGTAACAGCAGCCGACCACCTGCCGAGCCACACTCGGTGGAAGTCTGCTCAGAGACTTATTCAGGAAAAGTACGGCCGACATTGTTTTAAACTGTTAACCTATAATCTTACATCAGCAGCAGCTACAACGGCTACAGGACGGCGGCCATACTGCCGAGAGAGTGGCGGTGTGGGAGGTGACGCCGTATCGGAAGACGATTGGATGAGATTCACGTTACTCGTTTCACAACTCTGTTACGTAGAAATACTTCACTTTAAGTTTTCTGTCACATTTATCTCACATAAATAATAAGAAACACTAGTTTCATATTTTTAGCTCACGGCGATAAATTTTGGAGCAACGGTTTCCCAGGTTTAAGCTAGATAAAGAAATCCGAAGTACCTGAAGTAGCTTTTGTGACGTAGCGCAACAAGTGTCGGGGAACGCAATCACTGCTGCGTTCAGGTGCTCCTTGTAAATTCCAGACTCAACATTTGAAAGTTGGAAAGCGGGATTTTAAGTGGTTTTAATAACAAATGAACCCTTTTCTATTTTCTATATATTTTTTTCTAGTAATTCATTGCTCTCAGTTCTCATTACTTTTAATTCAATTCAATTTTATTTATAAAGCTCAATATCACTAATCACAATTTGCATCAGAGGGCTTTACAGCATACGACTTCCCTCTGTACTTGGACCCTCACAGCAGATAAGGAAAAACTCCCCCAAAAAAACCTCTAACAAGGGAAAAATGGTAGAAACCTCAGGAGGAGCAACTGAGGTGGGATCCCTCTTCCAGGATGGACAGACGTGCAATAGATGGCATGTGTGCAGAGCAGATCAACATAATAAATTTACAGTAATCCATATGACAAAATGATACAGAAAGAACGACAGAGACAAAATAAATATCATATAGATGATGAAGTAAAGTGAGTCAAATTATGTGGATCACATGTTATGGCCTTCACAGATTTCAACCCAGCTGGACAGCTATGAAAAAATGGAGCAATGTGCCAGTAAGCCAGGGATAATCTTCTTTGCCCGAGGGACACTTATGCAAAATGACAGGAGTCCAGGGGCCAGTTTTATAGTAACTGAGGAAATGTGGGGCTTAGCCCTGACCTCATGGGGGGTCGGGGGATCCTCCCCTTACGATAAATAATCTAATATCTTAGGAAATTTGTTTTCAAATTTTGACTTTTTTTCTGTGGGGGAACCCCTAGACTCCCCGGCAGATTTTGTCTCCCCACCAGATGTTGACTCCATGACTACGGCCTTGGCACAAACACGAGGGACAGTTCCTTGTTAGTAAACATACTTGGCAATAAACCTTATTCTGTCGTTCCTGTTTCCTTTAGATCACCATCATCTTTGTTTAATCAGTATTTAAGGACAGCCTGAGTACACACGGAACAATCTCCACCCTTTTAATAAGGGAGGGACACTTTCAATACTTTGTATTTTATAGTAGCTCCATTGTAACACATGGATTTACCCATACTGTAAATGTATAGTTTTCCTGTGATGTTGACCCAAAATGCCCTGGTATCTAAGTGTTTCCAAATAATAACAAGACATAAAGCTAAAGTTACAAAGTAGACTGAGATGGCTATTTTCTGATATCGACCACTTTTGGATATTTCACAGTATTTCCTGGTAGAAGAAGAAGTAAACCATCAGAGGCATTTAGTAAGTCATAAGTTACTTTATATTGCTTTCAGAAGACATATATAAGTTTTCACTCGGGGGAGGATTTATCTGTCAAGTTGTTGTAATTTAAGAGGCTGAAAAGGAAAAACTGATGGAGTTTTTGCATTTTTAAAGACTATTAGCAAATCATTAAACTGCTCTGCCCAGACTGTGAACTGTGCACAGAACAGAAAACAAAAAGACACAACAACATCATGTTTCCATTGAATCCCTTTAAAGGACAATTCAACCTGAAAATATTCACATTATTAAAAGTGTTTTTCACATTCTGGCTGGCTGCCACGTCTGCACCCATTTTGTTTGCATGACTGTTTAAAAGCATCTTCAGGAATCCTAAACTCTGGTGTAGGAATAAAAAGCTTCTAGATTAAAGCAACTACCTTATATCAGCTCAATATAAACAGTTTTAATATAAGTTTTCAACATGAAACTGTTAAGTAATCGAAGCAGAGATGCCGGTTTCTCCACGTCATCAGATCATGGCACAATGTAGCAGCAGGACATGTTGTGTCTTGGTTCAGGGGTGAGGCAGGTGAGGCTTTTTGTCCCAATAGCAACACTTTATTAAACCACTTACATCACTGTGCTGTTAAAGCTATGGTTCTCCAGACATACAGACAATAATAATTAGATAAAAATATTCTCATGGTGCTGTATAGGGGCCGTCTGGGAACAGTCTCAAGTAGCTGACGCAGGTGACTAACCTACAAACTGTGAACACTTCACTTCGTAACAGCCTCAGAGGGAGAACACTGCAGACTGATGATATGAGTCAGTGGACATTACTGACCTGGAAAGGAGACGAGCGACTGATCAGTGACATGTGTTCTGTCAGGAAACTGCATGTACTCTGAGTCACTGAACATTTGGAGAACATTCAGGATGTTCTGGGGTTACTCTTGGAGCTTTTTAATGAAGTAGAGCTGCAACTAATAATTATGTACATGAATAGGTAATCTGATGATGGTGTGTTCATCATTTTGTCTATAAAATGCCAGAAAATAGAGAAAAAGACAAGCTAGAATTTACAAAGCTCGACGTGACAGCATCAGATCCTGGTCCGACCAACAGTCTAAAATCTAAATATCTCCAGTGTACAGTGATGATAAACATAGAGAAGACAAAAATGGTCGTATTTGAGAGGCTGTAACTGACAAATGTTTGATATCTTTACTCTCAGGGTTGCACCTAATGATTATCTCCATTATCGATCAATCGTTTGGTCTATAGCAGACATGTCCAAAGTATGGCCCCGGGGCCAATTGTGGCCTGCAGAACAATTTTAAATGGCCCTCAGTTTGACTTTAAAATATAATATACATGGCTGCATTCTTCCCTTCTCCGCACAGTGTTTGTAGACATGCATCAAGTAGGAACTACGCAGGTAGAGCTTATGTGTTTTCAAAAGGGACTGTTCGTTATTTATGAGATAGGAGCAGGTGGTGCAAACAGGAGGACACGTCAAATAATTTTTTTTTAGCATAAAAGACTTATGCTTTTATTTTGGTTCAGGGGAGGAGCATACAACTTTAAATGGCTGTATTTTGTATTTATGTTACCACTGATTTTTAAGGGAAACATGCCTCTCACACTCTTTAAAAATCGCCAGAATTACACAATTTAGCACAGCCAGAAATGAGAAAAACAGAAATTGTTGTTGGATTTTTAAAAAATGTTTGATGGTCCTTGGACACACCGTGTGCGGCAAAAAAAATTTAAAATTAATTTTTCATGCATTTTTTAGTTTCTTGGGGCACTTATAATAAACATCTCTCTTTTTTTCTGAACAGACCCCACAGATTTTTAAATATAGGCCTCTACCAAACGGTTGAGATGGCCCTTCATGGTAATGGCGCAGAAGAAAGAAAAAAATCTAAATGAAAAATCATGCATTGTTATAATACTTGAAATATGATAGTATACCAACATATATCAATTTGTTATCACTGAATTAGTAGTAACACCAGCACTAGTATTATTTCTACGCATTATTTATCATTCCAGTGCTTTGAAAACATCACTAATCCCTATTTCATCAAATATATAATGGAATAACTTTAAATATATGGTATTAACAACAGTGAAACTTTATCCTGTTTTCATTTTATATAAATTGTGAATTTATTATCTGTGCATCACTACCTTTACCGTAAAATCACAATGCAAGTGTTTGAGTGATCGTGGCTTTAGACAGTTAAAAAAAAATCAAGCATAAAAAATTACTTCAGTATGTGTATAATGGATAACATTAAATGGATCATTTAACGACAACAAACGATCAGAAGATTTTTTTTTTTAATGGCATTAACTTAGCTTTACTACCTTTACTATAAGAGGACAAACCATTTGGTTGAGTGTTTCAAAAATGTTATTTGACCCTTATTGGACTTTTATTGTTGTATAAAGTTACATGAATCTGTTCAGTAAGATATCTGAAGCTATAACATGTCATATAAACATGCCTACCTTTGAAAATCCCACCACACTGAGCCCTCATGTCTGAAGGCGACTTTGTTACTAACTTCCTGCAGGAGGCGAGCTGCAGAGGCAAACTATTTACGGACACAGCGACATCTAGTCGGTATTTTTTTTTAACATAACATGCCTTAACCCAATGGTAGAGATATCCCAATCAGGTTGAGTTAAATTCAACACATTTTTCATTAAGACAGTGACTCTAAATGTGCTCTACCAAACGGTTGGGTGTAACGTCAAAGCATTAGATTTAACTTTAATTTATCACCTTGTTAATTCCAAATACACAGTCAAAAATAGTTTCTAACAATATCTTGTTTTCTGCCTCTTAGCACTTTATAGATGGCAGCCTACATTATGATATGCCCCATTTAAAGCACTAGTTTATTAGATTTGGTAATTGCAGAAGGTCTGCATCTGGATCACGGTGATCCGATCCAGTGTTGCTTTGAAAAACCAGCACAAAAATAAGACCGATAAGGTGATCCTGGATACCAAACATGGGATTTCCAAATCTGGATAATTACATGTTTTTAACAGCAAGGCCCTGCAGACACCCTGTAAAAGCTGAATCCTCTGTTGCTTGTTTCGACCCTAGAAGTCAGTCTAAACTCAAAGGGTTAATTATTAATTCAGCTTTATATCGGCAGGTTTTAATTTTCACACAAATGTTCCTTCATTTGTGGAATCACCTCAGGGTGCAGCTCCACAGACGTACACCAGACCCAAATTAGCTGTAGAATGTCGTCTTATAATTAAAGCCCAAAATAATAATCTGTAACACCCATCAGATACCTGAAGGTTCACATTAGGACTCAGATAAACCTGCTTTCATCTGTCACTGCTCAGAAATAAGCAAAGGGAAGCACAACAAAGAGAAACAAGTTAGCGAGACATGACACATGGGGGGAGGGAGGGGTGGTTTGTAAAATGCCTTTACAACACTAGACGAGCACAAACACACAAAGACACACAGTCCATATTAGGGGAAATGGTTTAATTTGGAGACAGAGGCAAAGAAACACACCACACATGAACAAACATTGACCAAAAAAGAACACAGAGTCTTTCGGCTACACACTCCGCTATGGGAAAAAAACAGAAAACTCTACACAGGTAAAAAGCAAGGCTCAAACTAAACAGATAGTTAACTCTTCAACTAAGACAATTATCCACAGAAGTTGTCGAAATCCTTGATGACCATTAAACTATGTGGACAGCACAAATACTAACATGAAACTTACCACGATTTAGAGGATCCCAACCCCCCCGAAACTGAAATTAATGAAGTGAGGAACACGTAGAGATCCGAGTAAAATCAAATTCAGGCATCTTTTAGAGACAAAAAACAAAAAAAAAAACAAACAAAACAAAACAAAAAAAAATTGCTTGACACCACCAAGAGGCCAAACTCAAGACCTGGTCAAGGCGAGGCCACATTGAGAGGCCAGACAATTTTTTTCCAATATAGATTTTTTTTTCTTTAATTTCCAATATAAAAAGCTTCACTGGTACAAAATACATATGAACAACCAGTTGTAGAAATTGGAAAGCCTGTGTATGTCTTTTTTTTCTCTTTTTCAAATCCCACCCAGTTTCAAAAAATTGATATTGACTGAACAGAAAGAAAAAACTACTGTATGTATAATACAGATCACATCAAGATGCACCCACTTTGGCTTTCATCAAGACAAGATAAAACATCTATTAAATTATTGGTGGAACATGAACAAAGTCCTACCGATTATCAGACAAGAAAATAACACAGGAAAAGATTTTTTTTTTCCTTCTTTTCTTTTGGATCAAGACAATATCTATAGAGATGCAAAGCTACCACACTTGTCAAAAAATAGCACTTCAGAATATGAAAACAACAGAACAAAGAAAGTGATTGTTAGAGCTCGAACGGGATTTGTGATGGAAGCCCCTGAAGTGAGTCAAGTTCCTGTTTCGGACCGCTGTGGACTGTACATTGTGCTTTTTTTTTAAAAAAAATTTCATTCACAGTAACACTTCACCATACACTGCAAACCAACCACAGATCTGCATTTCAGTGTTTGACACACAGTTTTAGCATTTAAAGATCTAACATGGCATCCAAGTCGTCTGTGTACTTGAGTTTTAGTTTTTTCCCCACCGACACATCTGCTCACCAATCGTCTGTATCGCAAAGTGTTACAGTACACATGTTCACACTTACTAAGAAAGAGGTTTAACCTTCAAATGTATAGGGAAGTTTATTGTTTATCTACAACTTTTTTAACCAACTGTTCAAATTGAGTACATCACAATACACATTTACCAATAACTCAACACACAGAGTGGGGGGAGGAGAAAAAGGGGGAGGGACATGAGCAGGTGACAAGAGCGTTCATGACACTGGCATAAATAGACAAAAAAGGCGAACTGCAGCAATCTCTAAACCAAGGCCTGATAAGGATGTGTAGGCAGTTTCTAGACGTATATATGGCACTTTGAATATTGTATTGCATTTGGATAGAAAAAACACACTGTAAAAAGCACATGCCCATATTAAAAAGTGAAATCAGTGGTACCTTGAAAATTTGGAGATTATAATCACACACACAACATTCTGCAAAAGTGATTAGCTCCCACAATTGTGCTTAACATTTCCTTACAAAAACAACACTTTCCTCGAGCACTGTTTCAAATTTGGTACCTCTTTTATATATAT